TGTCGAAGGAAATGGTTTGTCAAATTTCTGCAGTGCATTGGGCTTTGTCTTAGGACATGTGTTAGCCCCGAGTCTCCGTGAAAACTGCATCGACGGAGGACAAGCACACACGGCAAGATTAAAATACGGGTGTAGATTATAACACAATCACTAATGGCGTTGACAGAATTTTCGTTCAAAGCCCAGTTTTACCAGATGTTTTACGTGATTTTAAATAGCCTAAAAGGTAGCAAACAAAGTTAGGATAACCTTGTTTACAGGTTGTCACCGAAATATTCACAACGAGCGTTAAAAATGTAGGGCCACAAACTTTGCACACATCGCACGCTAACTTGGAGTGACCATTCATGTGGCTGAATGATTCGTTTTCACAAGAAAGAAAATCCGTAAATTGTAAGAAAACAAAGTGGCGAACAGGCTCGTTTGCGGTGATTCTTCTACAGGTTAATAGATTACAATTTCTATCAAACTGTTTAGAAGGGAGGAGGGAGAGAAATCATGAGAAGTTGGAAAAGAAATAATCAACATTCCAGTTCCATGACCGGATGTTGCTCACACTTTGTTCCACACACATGCGCATTGTATCGGTTTATCAGGGGTTGATGGTGGTATGTGTACTTATTTACCTGTTCCTGTTGGGAAAAGTACATTGGCCACACGAGTAGACGTTTATCCGAACGAGTCCGTGAACACTTCCCGGCCTGGCTGAATAGTTGAGTAATTAAGACCATTAACAGCTTGATCGTTTCGCACCTGGTAGAATCACACCATGTGGTTATTGTGACCGAGCTGTTTCGATCCCCCTACTTAATTCGCAGCAGTCGATCTAAGAGGATTAGGAGTCACATTCTGGCCACATCGGAAGCGATCTGAATCCGCTTACATAATCCCACCACACCGCTGTGCATTCAAAAGCAGTCCGTAAGAACACTCGGTCTTCCATGGCCAACACCACATACAACATAGCCATTCCACCACCAACCCCTAATAAACTAAAACAATGCGCATGTGTGAGGACCAAAGTGTGAGCAACATCCGGTCATGGAACTGGAATGTTGATTATCTCTTTTCCAACTTGTCATGATTTCCCCCCCCCCCCCTCCCTTCTAAACAGTTTGATATAAATTGTGATTTTAAGTTTGACTCACAGCTACTTGCGAGTAGTGGTGTGGGATAATCGGCTTTCAGTAATTTGAACTGACTATCCTTCGGACTTCACCTTCACGCACAATCCTCCCTTCATCGATTCAACCATACACTCGGAAGTACTAGACCCGAGATTCGCTCTCACTAGTGTTCATCAGTAGTACATATCCACCGTCCTGTCCAGGATTTGAACTCCGGACCCATCGCGTGGAAGGCGTGTGCGTTACCACTGCGCCAACCAGCTCATGCCACGGTTGAACCAAATTGCCAATTGATGATTGTTCAGGTGTCTTCAGTGATAGTCAGTTCGGATGGGCCCGACAGCAACGAAAGGAGACGCAGGTGGCATACTGTTAACTACAATCGAAAGCCTCCCACCAAGTCAGGACTTCCTTGCAGGTACGGACTGATTCGCCAATGAATCTACAAGGCTTGTGATGTATTAGCCTGTAGACGAATCACCGCAAACGAGTTTGTTCGCTACTCTGTTTTTTACAATGTATAAGGATGGTTTATTCGGACAGGTAAATTAGTTGGATAGTCAAGCTAACCACTGTTTGGGGCATTCAAACGATTCCAACTTAGACAAATTAGATCTAGGAATGGAATAAAATGCTGAATAGTAGTCCGGAAAAATACACCAAACAAACTTAACAGATCTGTTCACAGACTTGGTGATAAAATGAATGATGGTGGAGGCTGTGTCCTATGTGGATCTATTAGGCTTTTAAGTAAACTGTAACGGATCACTGGGAATGTTTATAGACTGTTGAAGGTGTTTGAGGATGTCCTTTTCAGTCAATTTAAGAGCTCAAGATGTTAGTGCTATGGGGCGGAAACGTTTGAAGAGGATAGAAGATTGGGATGCGTTGAGGATTGGTATGATTGTAACCGGCCTCCAACAGTCGGGAATAGTAAAAATATGAATAGATTTATTAAAAATGGACGCGATTGCTCCAGGTAGGGAAGCAGTAGAAAATTTGAAGAGGACTGGGCCCGCAGCAGCAGAAGAATTGCAACTATTTGAAAGTTCTAACAGATAACAATTTGAGAACGGTTCCATATTACAAACATTATGTGACTAGTAGGCAGGAAGAATTTCCGATGACTGGTACAGGAATGCCGCATTGAGATAATCAACTTCCACGTCTAGCTTCGACCTTAAGTTTCTCCTTCCCCAGAGACATCTTATACATTGCCACAGATGTTTACTCTTTCCAGTCTTGAGAATTCGATCCGAGAATAACGCGTTCAACCTATGTACTTCAGCTTTGATAAGCCTGGACAAATACTTGACAACTGAAGCATTATCATCGTGGCGACTTATGTAGGGGAAAGCTTAGGCTTCCGTTGGACTCAAAGGCTTTGAACAGGGCAAAAGTAATTATAAATGGCGTTGATTGTTTGGGTAAACAGGGGGACATATGTGAATAGAGAAGATGATGGAAAGCATAAAGAGACCTGTCTGAGAGATTCTCATTCGGGAGAGAACAACTTGTAGGTGAGAAGTTACGAAAACGATATGATTAGATCGGGAGAAAGATTTGTATGCACTGTATGAATAAAATTAGGTCGAACTAAGAGTAAACAATGGTCACTGGAGGAAAAAGGTGCTTTTAGTGCTAAAGAGAAAAGAGTTGGGTGGTTGCTAGTTACTCTATCCAGTATACAGTTACGTCTTGTAGGAGAGTGATAAAGATGTGTTAGACTTAACGATAAAATTAGATAAGTACTAGTATGGCTAAAGTCGCCTACGATTAAGTGCAGGTTAACAGCTAAACATGTGGCAATAAAAGGCATGAAGCAATCGAAAAATGATAAACGACCGGACTGCGTACAGTAAGGAGCTATATACAAGTTAGTCAAAATTGTGTGAGTAAAACGGGAAAATCTAGAGTGGCACTGTATATTTAGACACTCCTTTCTCCGGTCTTTTTCCCTCCGTTTCCACGATCCTGTCGGTAAACTTGGAACCCGTCTATTGACACTAGAGAGTCACCTATATCCTAATTCATCCAGGATTCTCGAAAACAGACAGCACACGTTTTGATATGAATTCTTGATTGGATAACACTAGTTAAATTCGACAATTTGGGAAATAGGGACCGATTATTAGTGCTGGCCAATGAGGGGACAGTCATCTTTGACAGAGGGGTGCAATTAAAGGCAACTTGCAATCCTAAATTTGGAACCCGTCCTTGGATGAGAGCTGATGTTTGGAAGAACTCCAAAGCTGTTAGTGAATCTCAACAACTTCAACAGACAAGTTGTGAAGCCCAGCATGCAGAGATCTATTTCGCCGGGTAGGATTACCGTGGAGTACTACTTAATTTTGTGAGTAGTACGCATAATAATGCAGTAGATGGTTTGTAACCACGATCAAAAACAAAAGTATCACCGACCGGGCACCGCCTTTTGGAATTAAAACGGTACATTGCGATGTCTTCAATTTGGGCCACGCTGTTATTTTCAGCTCGATCATTGTTACACATGCGCTGACATTCCCGTTGTTTTTTACACCAATTTTTTTGTAGGTAGTTTCCATTAATACATTGTGCAATTATGATGATGCCAGTCGAGAAATTTCATATCGTCCTTATGGAAAGCATCAAGAACTCTAATGTGCTTTCGAAGGAAACTCGATTTGGAAAATCAGTAAGAAATCTAAAAAAAAGGATTCACAGTAAATCTCGTAGACATTGGAGGAAGCATCGGAATGGATGGAGGGTGGCACTGCGTCATAACTCGGTATACCCATTATTATCAGAAACTATGTCCGTTTGTTGCTTGGAAGATTACCAGATATATCTGATCCTGTGCGCCGTATGGAATAGCCTAACTTAGGCGCAATTCTATTGCAACAGATCTGGTTACACAGTGAAATTGATGAGGACATTTTTAAAATCGATGGCTTCATTGGATACTGAGTCGGCCGTCAGGCAACGTATCCGAAGCGCGGAGGAAGCCTG